CCGAACTTCAAGAAGAGATCTTGATTTTCTGGTAAAAGCCTACGGAGACATATTCGTGTGCCTCAACGAGAACCACTGCACCCCGACCGGGAGCAAACCTGCGTGACCAGAACCGACGGCGGACGACCCTGGCCGGGATGGCGGGGAATCTGGCGGGGGACTGGCAGGCGACTCTGGCTGGCACAATGCGCACAGGACACTCGCAAAAAAAGCAGACGACTCCCAGAAAGAGCTTGGCGGGCGACCCGGCGCGCCTCTGGCGTTGATGGGCGGCCAACTCTGGCTCGGACGGGGACGGCGGACGAATCTGGCGGGGACTGGCACAGGCGACTCTGGTGGGGACCGGCGGGCGACGCTCTGGCACAGAGCTTGGCGGGCGACTCTGGCGGGGGACGGCGGACGACCCTGGTGGGGACGGCGGACGTCACGGACGCCCGACGACCCGGGACGACTCTGGCGGGGACGCCTCTGGCTCTGGCGAGGACAGCTGCACGGCGGACGCTGATGTCCTTTCGGCCTCCCCCAACATTACGACAATGTCTGTTTGTGCTAGTGCAGCACGGCGAAATGGAAGAAGCTGACAAAACCCGTTCTACTCCTGCTTCGGGTGGTTGTGGGTGGGTTCTACGCTACAAAGACGGCGCGACCCACGACCACTCCATGGGTGGGGCAGCAAGTAGCACTGTGACACAACCTGAACCCTAAACTGTAAATCCCGAGACCCATTATTGTCTGAAAGTTGGGAAGCAGGGAAGCGTTGAGGCTCCGGATTCCGGAGTTAGGTGGAATTGTTCGGGTTCATTGTTCTGGGAGTTTGGGGCTGGGGCTCCCGATGCAAAGGTCTCAAAGAAAGCCACACAGTTTCGATTCAGCAATCAGGCCCTGGAAGAGCCCCATACCCGACGCAGGCTGCCGTCTCTGCAAAACCGAAATAAACTTTGAGCCTTCAAGCGGCTTTGAAACTCAAAGCAAGGAGGCTGAGGCTCCTGCGCATCCCTCACCCCGGCGGTTCTGGAGATCTGCGGGTAGAGAGGTGTTGTACGGCGCGCTTCAAGGAGGGCTTATACTCATAAGGCTTATGAGGGCTCATGGTTGCAGAGCTTGCTTTGGATCAGACTGGCCGGTTGGCGTCCACAGAGGCTGGAGGTCTGACAAAGAAAGCTCGCAAATGTTGGGGTGTAATGACAAACGGGAATATCAGGGATCGAGTACCAGCTAGCCTCGAACAAGTTGCCTGGATCAGACAGCCCACCGACGAAGAACAGCACATGAAACATGCAGACTGGCAACCTTGAGCCAAGATCCGAAACCCCCAACTCGTCCTCAAAACGCAGAAAAACTCAGCTCTGCCCCCCTTATAAGGGTACTTCGTAGCTATGCATCTGCCTGGGTCCTCCGTCGATCCAGGCCTTTTATGCTGCCGTCACAGTCCAGGGGTTTAGGACTAATTAGGGCTTTGATCGTAGAGTGCAAGGATCCTCTCTGAAGTTGTTAACCTGAGGACTGCAACCTGTCATGCACTTATTTTGTTGAACGCAAGCTTCCAATCGTTAAGTGCAGGTTGAGTTCATAAGTCAATCCGACACTTGAAAACTTGAAATAAACTATTGTATGGCTTAGGGCTAGCGCTGAGTCTTAGGCCCTGTGTTAGGCTTAGTTTTGTCTTGATCGTACCACGAACCTGAACCTGCCCTCCGAACTATGAGCCTGGCGAGGCCGACAACAATACAGTCCCACGAACATCGCGGAAGTGTGGTTTTCATTCAAAGCAGTAACGAAAACAACTGTCGGCTGACCTTGCTTGTAAAAAGCGGAACATGGTCGATCGACACACTAGTAATTGGTACTCAATGCTTTGAGGGGGCCCTGCCTTTGAAACGACGTCCATGCTCCACGCCTGCGTTGAAGGCCTCCTCGAAGTTGCCTGACAGTCTTCTAGATCTACCCCGAATCAGGATCCCTTTTGGTGGTCTTGCATGATGTCGACATATTCAAGCCGATGGTGCTTGGCTGTGTGCCTGAATCCTCAGACCGGCAAACTTTCAAGCTTACCTGAAGCCCAAATAAACGACGATATACGAAACGACTGGACGACAAGCTGAAGGCTCCAAAGTCCGCACATGCATGGCAAGGAGCATTATAAGATTTTTCCCGACGGAAGTCGGGCAGCTACAACAGTGCGAGTTGAAGGAACCCTCAGCTCAAGCCGCAGATCAAGCATTAGGATTGTGATCTGAGTACAAGGCGAGGGCTCCAACTATAAAAGTCCCAAAGAGGTCCGGCCTAGCATTGCATGTGCCTGGATCTGCATAAGCACACAGTCAATCTCCTCGGCAGGCAAGCAATCGAAAAAAAAAACACCATTTATTGCTAAGGCTTTAGCGGGTCAAGGTTAGGGGTCCAAAGACGATCCGAGAAAAAAAACAACAGACTTCAGGAAGAAGTGTCATATTGACAGAAGGATAAGTTGCAGGTCGAAACAGCACCATATGAGCTATATTGAATTGAAGAGCATTCGAAGTTCAATACCAAGTGTTGAAAGGGGCACGGACTGGTGCAGTAATGTCTCGCTTGACTCTGTTGGTATCGACGGCCACTTTCTTGCTGTTGCCATCAAAGCAGCCGTTGGTATCGAAGGCCGAGCACTGCAGCAACGACATTGACATTCTGACTCTTCGTCCCAGATCCAAGTCCAAAAACACAAGGCCAAACACCGGCGAGCACTACAAAACACAATATTGGCAGCTTTGGCGACATTGACCATGTTCTGAATATCGCGGGAGTAAGCCTCTATACCTGCAGAAGCCATCGAACGTCTTTTCACATCACAACAAACACCTGCATCTCACTTCTCGTGTTGACACCTGATCACGCAGAACCTATCAGGTTCAAATCCTGAAGGTGCCTTCAGTTATGTCGGAAGAGCTATTTCCCACTATCTGCCGATGTACATGCACACTGACGTTCAGGCCAGGCTAGGGTGCAACAGACTTGTTCAGTCTATTCACGCCATTCAGTGTTTTGTCGTGCTTTACATTGTATTACCTCCTATGGCTAGGTGAAGCTAGGAACCAAATCAAGCTAGCCTGTTATAGCCTGTTCGACGCTCTCATATACTGATGCTGTCACCCAGATACGCGTGTGGAACAGTGTAGTGAGCACGAGCTTGTGTCCAATAACACTACAACAGTGCCATTGCACTATTTGATAGGAGTGACGGGATTAAGAATGTAATTAATACTTGCAAAAGCCACAATGTTACTCCGCGGGCCCGTGAAACACTCGAGGAAGCAGCTCATGCAACAGGGATTTTCCCTCAGAGTATTGAGCCTCGTGATTCTGACTGAACCTTTGTAAATGCTTGAGAGTGAACACATGCCTACGATCTGCATGCTGTCGTCAAGTTGTGTGGGTGCATCATCCCGCCATAAAACCAAGTATATAAGAAGCAGCTTTTGTTGGCCTCGATTTCTGTGTGGCCCCGGACCCCGATCTTATGACCCCAAAAAATCCAACAATGGACGCGAATCCATGAAATCTATCTCCTAGAGGCAGAAAGCTAAAGAACTTGAGAGTTTTCGTTCTACAAGCTCTCATTTTGCATATCCAAGCTTCTGCATCACGGATTTCTCTCCTCTGCACAGGCTCAGAGCGGAAGATGTTGGCAGCCTGCACCCACTTTTGAGGGTTTACGGTTTGTCTCCTATGACCTGGACATAAACTTGAACCTACGTAGGAACCCTGAAAGTTGCGTCAGCGGATCGATTGGGCAAGGGCATTGGCTTCAGAGGTTGAGTCTGCACTCGGGGATCGGGGCTTCGAGGCCTGGGGCCTTCAGGGGCCCGAAATCGGAAGCTCGAATTTCGGAGTAGGGACCTGGCGACACAAGGCCCCGGTAAAGAGGAAAGTCGACGTCTAGCAGAGAATACATGGGGAATACGGCCCAGGGTGCTGGGGCGGTAGACAGTCACAGCATTGGCAACTGCTGCACGATGCCGGGCCCTGAGTCGGAGATGTGAAAGATTTCCTTCCTGCCGGAACACCACTGCAAAAAATCCTCGGACAAACAATGTCGTAGCCTTACCAAACTAGCAAAACCTCTACTACACTGCAATCCCTCTGGCCCCACAACGTTCCGTCTTGTCCTGGCCTGCATGGCGGCTCGCATCCCCTCTGCTGGCTCCTCTGTTCAATACTCAGATTTCCACTCGAAACTTCTGCTTGGCAGCTTGATTGGCCTCTTTCTAGGTGATCACAATCCAAACTTCTGTCCATGATCGAAAGTCCAAAAGAAAAGAAGGCACACGCGGTTGGACTGCTTGGGATGTGGAATGAGCGCATCGGAGGACTTCGGCTCGAGAGCTTCGCCACACAGGGCCTTAAGAGGCTTCTGAATGATCCTATATGCTGGCTCTTGCAAACAAAACTCCGCAGACAGCCATGTCAGGACTCCGTGAACAAAGTATATGCTGCATTCAGCTAAGCGCTGGCTGTTCGAACACCCCTCGTCGTAGTCTCATTTGGAGCCTCTTGGCAGCAAGAGCCTGTCCACAAATTTGCATTAATTAACTAAATGCGGAGGGCCAAGGATAAAATTGACCAGGCTGCCTTGATTTGGGCCTGGAAGCATGATGCAGGGCTTCTGCACACTAGCTGAAACGCTTTTCGGCCGCAAGCCGTTGCTTGATAACCGCAGCCGGTCTTGTGCCAGCTGGCTCCTTCACCGACCAACGGTGTGAAATTTGCGCGAACTTAAGCCGCTGAAGCCCCGCATGAACAGCAGAGAAGAACCCCAAACCCAAAAAATCTGAATCCTACACCCCGGTACAGATTAAACTACGACACTTCGCACATTAGTCCACAAGCCGCTCCAGGATTATGCATTAAGCTGATGGGAGCTCTGGACCTGCTCGAATACTGTTCTAAGCACAGAATATATGTTTCTTGTGTGTCTAAGAAATGATCTCAAACCATAGGAGTGTCTCGAGGGTTTCTGAGCGTTACGAGAAGATGGGACAGAAAGCGCCCCAGTCTTGGCAAAATACTCCGGGATCATTGAAACGCCGATTTCGATTCAGGGCCGCGACGGCGGTCACCTGCCCCACAAAGGCTTGGATCCCGGGTCGAAGGCTCACGTGGCTTATACGTCTTTTTGTTATACAACTCGACGAAAAGGCAGCACAATAAAGATTTTGAAGAACTTCGGAATGAGTCTTTGTCAGCCCTAATTAGATCCAACACCTACTGATTACCGCGAGGCAAGGAAGTTCAAACTTTAAAAGTGACCGCTTGGGATTTGGCCTTCAGTTAGCATGCACACGACTTGCCAGAGCCTCCTCCGGTGCCAGCGCGAAGTCTGAAATCCGAAGATTTTCCGCCTCGATGCAGAGCAAATTTACTAAGCATGCATGCAGGATTAGCGGTGACAGGTGTCCGGGAGCTTGCAAAAGTGTTGCTCCCAGCCTCTTTGTTTCCTTCTGGGGGGGATTGGGGGCTTTGGCTTGACACGGCTGGGTTCTCTACCGGGCTTGCGGTGTAGGCCTTGATGTCAGTTCGAAGGCTTCCGGTAGTGAGCTAGACAATTCAAGGAGATTGTACGCGCGACATTCAATAACCCACAGTTTGATGTGCGTGTGCCGTCTTGGATGTTTGAAGGCCACAACAACAAGTCGTGCTGTGCAACGCGAAGGTGTAGACAATACTTTCCGCTCTCGTGATACCTCCTCCCGAAGCCCTGAACCCTAAACCTGAACTGCCACCCTTGCTTGAAGCCTGTAGCTGCCACTGTAGCTACTCCACACTTACCCTGAAGCCTAAACTATCGAACTCTTTACTGTAACCTACATCCTGACACTCGGGTAGAGCCTGGCGCTCAGGACGGCTGCTTTTGGGGATCACAGCGTAACCGCGATCCAGGCCTCATTGTTCCGGGTTTCGGATATGTCCCAAGGTCTAAAGATGAAGCTCACAGCGCTCACGGTTTCAAGACTGTTTCGATTATTCACCCCAGAAGATGCATGTCACCAGTGCAAGCTACTAGCCATCATACGTGCGCTCACGTGGCTGTTCGGTGAGCAGCACTGTGACTTGGATCTGGTGACGGTGGTGATGCTGATGATGGTGGTAGTGAAGATGACGACAACGACTATGCTGCTACTGTCATCATGGCTTGGCTGATCGTAGTTGCAGGAATTGCATTGCCGGTGATGAAGGCAATGATGGAGGACAGAATATTAAAATCATGCTGATCTCTGCACTTGTTGAATCCGGCTGCCATCGTCTTGCTACAACTCTTCCATGAACATTGCTTACGGCGAGGTCCGAACCCCTGCATGGACTCCAAACTCCAGATCACATCTAGGGATTCAAGATATGTAGGCCTTAGATGACAAGACAGGCCGAGTATTCCAAGGAAGCGAGGATAGCCATCAACTTGAAAACATGATCAGAGGCACATCCCCACACGGTAAACCTTCAAGCTAAAGCAGCCAAAACCCAAAGCCCTGATCCCTCGAACCAAGGCTTTGGGGTTTAGCGGCTTAGCCTGTCCAGGGTTGCAAGTACTTTGTGTGACAATAAATCTTCCGTATCTCCGCTACAGAGGGTCGCACTGCGGGATAATCCCCAGGCGAACACATCTCTGGAACAGAATCCACAAGGCCTACAAACCCCAAACCCCTAGACTAAACCACAAATCGAATTCCAGAAACCTACTAAATTGCCACTTGTCTGCCGTGATCCAGAAAACAAAAACCAGAGTTTGTTAAAGACTTGAAGATGAGAAGCCCCATCTCAAGATGATCTGCGCTGCTGTCTTGCCATACTTCTCAGCCAACTCCAAAACGAGCCTGGCTTAGAGCGAGAGTGTGAGTCACGGTGGGTAAATGGTTGCCAAGGTGTGGCTAGAGACACCCCTGGCTTACCAAAAAAACGCAACTCTGTTCTCTGAATCCATCTGAATCCCAAATTTCAACGGGTCTGTGGGGCTAAGGTGATGGTGCAAGGCTCTCGCCATATAGCGCCTGTACAGCTTTCAGGTCCGTACAGTACATGTTTTGGGGAAAGCAGACAGCAAGACTGCGATTGTGCAACTGGGTTTGCACCTCAGGGCGTGGGGGCACACAAGCCTTATAGACCTCTGAGCTCAAAGTCTCAACGCTAAACCAGCAGCCGCAAACCGCAAAGCAGCAAATTCGCACATGCAAGGCCTGAGCTGTTTCGCTGACTGCCCTCACAGCCCAAACCTGGAACTAGTCTCCTAGCCATGAACCCGAAAGTTCCAAAGCCAAGTCGAAGACCAGAGGATTCTGGGGGGGGGCGGGGGGGGGGGGTGGTTGCAGTCCAAAGGTTACAAAGCCAACTTGCCTGCCCCTATACCTTGTGTTTTCGGTCTGCGGTCGAAAGGTTTTCAGCGGAGGGGGGTTAGGGTAGGGCCGGGAGCTGGAATCTGGTGTTCGGCCAAGGATCGGATGCTGCAAGATGGACTCGTCGGCAGAAGCCATGTCCTCGGGAACTGCATCTTCGGTACAAGTCGGCCCGTGGTGTTGGCTGGAATCTGGATGAGTAATAACGTGTCTTCAACGTTGGGCAAGGGCTTTACGAGTGATTCAGCGGTCTCGCAAATTTAAAGCTTGGCCGTACATGGCCGCCATTGCAGCCTGAAGCTCCAAAGCAGCAACCTAGACTCTAGACCCAAGCTTCCGCTGTCGGGTTCACGGCTTAGCACTGCTTCAGAGTGCAGGGGTTCGGGGGGGCATACTATGTCGTAGAACCTCGGTATGATACTGTGAAAGGCGCCGGACCTTCACACCGTCGGATTCCATGATGATGCTTATATCATGTTGGGGAATGTTGGAGTTGAAATTGGCTGGTTCTCAAGACCCAGAATCGAAGCCAAGCAGACTACTGTACATCCCCAACATCGCAGAATTCTTGAACCGACGTGCGGTCCAGGCACTATAGACACGTAGGAGCCAGCCCCGAGCGGAGAGAAGGCAATCACTGCAAGCCCCATGGACTGGCAGAACCGCACAAGCTGCCTCAAGACATGGTCCGACTTCATACTGCGAAGCTGGGACCTAAATTCATGATCATGCAGCTGTCTAAATCATCTCTGGCATGATTGCAAAGGCCGCTAGCTGGCATAGTCGATAGCTCTAGTGCTGGCTTCGACTCGAAACATTTCCACCTGTTGGGGTTCAGCGTGCAAGGCACAAGTCCTCCGTTTCCGACATGGTCATGCTTGCAGCATCTTCTCTGCTTCCTGCTTCGGGTAGTTCGTTGTACGGCCACAGGGCTAAATGTTATTTTGCATGCAGTCATCTCTGCGCCGTGGCCGGGCACATCCGTGCCAACATACTTTAGATCACATCGCCGGATGCCAGGTTTTGGACTTGGGATTTGCTTTAATTAGGGCTTATCTACCAGACTCGGTCAACTGTCGATCAACGAAGGCGGGCTATTGGATCGAGCCGACCAGTGACAAAGGTGGGACAACTCGGAGTTTCACAAACTCAGCGAACCCACCGTAGACCCCGGAACCGTGGGAGGTTCAAAATGAGGGTCGCTTGAGGAGATGTCAGATGTCGACAAACTCTGCTGGTACTATAGAAACCCAGAATCTTGTGCACAACGCACAACCCGAGCTCTAAACCAATCTTGCATCGATGTCAAGGGGCTCCTGGGCCAGGAACGGGTGCAGCTCAATCTGATTCACCTGTCGAGTAGGTCTTGGTGGGCTTGGAGTTGAGCATTTGCGGGTGGTTGAAGACATGGTCTTGGGCTTCTTGTGTGTCCGTTTCGTGTCGAGGATACCAGGCTTGGCATTGCCGGGTTTGTGTCTTGAGCTTGGTGTGGGGCTCAGGGCATGGCTTGCAAAGTTGAGATGCGGGCTTAGGCACCTGACTCTCCGGGCACCTGCCTAGAATAGTGAGGAAAACCTACAGATATTCTGAGTAGGAAAAACGACCCACCACCGGGAACCCATCTTTGAAGGACCACCAAAAGCAAAACCCCTGACTCTTGATGCTTCCGAAGAAGTGCTGGGCAAAACACTGATGCTGGATTTTAACTGGACTGCATGCTTGAGGGGTTTTTCAGGGTCTGTCCTTGCCGTGTCGGGTTGCGGGCTTAGGGGCCCTCGACTCATCGTGCCTGTGGGCGAATCCGAGAGACGCTGCAAAGATGTTGCAGCAGCTGCATGGAGAAGTTTGCCACGCCTGCAGAGCTGTCTGTCGGCCTTCTCTCGCTATTGCCCCTACAGGCCAGTACACTAAAGAACAAGGCAAGCAGCTTAACAAACAAATCAACAGATTCGGAGACGGCCAAAACAATAGCATAAAGTCGATATCAAAGCCAAGCTCCAAGTCGAAGTTACGTCTTATGGCTGGTGCACCATTCTTGGTGCAACTGATGTCATCACAGTTCTTCGTGGCTCCTGTTCTATTCGTGAGTACTGCTAGAACTGATACTGATGCTAGCAGCACAATTATGAAGCATAGGATTATGCTTGAAACTTCTCGTCCATGCCTTTCCATACAATCCGCTCACCCGGGTAATCCTGTTATTCATCCAGTCTTCATGCGAGCATGTCGGTTATGATGACGCGTCGGCCTAGTTCTTGTTATTCCGGGACTCCTAGTATGGTACCCCCATTGTTGTTGGGGCTACTGTTGTTGTGCTTGTTGTCGATGCTTTTGCTTTGATGCTGCTGCTGCGGCTGCTGCTGCTGCTGCAATGAAGGTTGTGGGTTCAGCAAGTGCTGCAACCAGACTCCTCTACAGCTTCATTGTGGAGAGCCTATCTCAACATTTGCTCAGCTCCTAGGTATTCGTTGGGATATCATATGTTCAGTGTTGCGAGACCAAAACAGCTCAGGAATGAGAGCCGCTACCGCTCAACATTGTTGCGTCGAACAATCACTAGCGACAGATTCCATGTCCGAATACGAGATCCCAACACAGCGCAACCTCCACCCCAAAAGGCTTCGCCCAAACTTCAAAACGAAGCAAAGAGCCCAGTCACAAAAGCCTCCTCCCTAAACCCATGGGTGCCTATACATCGAACCAGGCCGGCCTCACAGTCAGGATGAGTCAACAAGAAGGTTCCCGGGGTAGGGATTAGGGCGGTTGGGGGTATGGAGCACTTGGGGCCGGGGTTGCGGCTTGGAGTTTCGGGTCGCTGACCGGTTGAAGAGTTTGGTGGAGCTTCTGGTTTCAAGCTTAAGTTTGGGCAAGCAGCGGAATGTTGTGAAGGTCCTTCCGCAGACTGCACAACCTCCCCGAGCTCAACTCCAATCCGCTGCTACTCTCACGCCTCAACCAGCGATTCCATAGCTCTCCAAGTTTGGACGATGTCCACGTCCTTGTCTGCGGCTAGAGGACTCAGGTGTCGAGGGAGCCCTAGTGTAGGGCTGCTACAACTAAGGAATCTGCCACCCCTACCTTTGGCGGGGGGGGAGATTCATGATCGGAATCCTTCGACGAGAGCCAAACATAGGACATAGGCTCCATGGTTCAGGGTGAGCTCAATGGGTTGGGGCGTTTCGCCATTGAACTATTGGGAAAGAATTAGAGCAGAGGGATACGATCCAGGGACGACGGATCAAAAACCCTGAGCCCTGACATTAGCAATGATAGGACTAAGCCTTTGCTGCAAATGTTAAATGTTAGATCATGAAGAAATAATTCGTATTTGTTGTGGCCGACCCCTAAAGCTGAAAACCGACACAACCCAATCTACCCCAAGCCTTCACATCGGACCACAAACCGGTTTGGAGGCGTTGCTGTTGGGTAGAGTTGTCGGCTCAGGGTGTATGCTGATATGCTGAACAACTCATTGGACAGCGGGCTTTTTGACGGCCCTGGACCAATGCCGACAAGTTTGGACTTGTTGTGGACTTCAGGCTTCAGGGCTTGGCGAGTTTAGGTCTTTACAAGTTCAGCGGTTTGCGGTGATTGAATAATAGCTGCATGGCGCATGCCCATGGCCCCCAAACCTTAATATCTCCATGTTACGGCTCTGACCAGGCTTCGAAGGCCTTCGAATTTCGCAAAAGCAGAAGCCGCTGCACTGGGTTACCCAGCGGACATCAGAGATCTCATGTACGTACAAAATATATAGTCTTAGCGGGCTTGGTGTCCTCGAGCTCCATCTGAGGTTTCTCGGAAAGAGGATCGTGAATCCACCTCAGTGCTCTCTGCAGAGCTACCAGCTTCGCCCTGCACGACACCTCGAGGCCAGCGCTACACAGCCCTTGCTTACGCCCTACAACTCAGCAACACAAAACCCTGCCACCAAACCTTCGAAAGAAAGCGCGATGCCACGAGTGCATTAATTTGGTGGTGGTGGTTGTAGTAGCAGTAGTAGCAGGCACTAGTAGTAGTAGTAGTAGTAGTAATAATAAAAATAAAAAATAGTAATAATAATAATAACACTAAAAATAACATTAATAATCGCCATCGTCGTCGTCGTAGCAGCAGCAGTAGTAGTAGTAGTCGTCACCGTCGTAGTGGTGGTGGTGGTGGTGGTGGTAGTAGTAACTACTGGTGGTAGTAGTAGTAGTAGTAGTAGTAGTAGTAGTAGTGGTAGTAGTTGTAGTAGTAGTAGTCGTAGTAACTACTAGTAGTAGCAGTAGCAGTAGCAGTAGCAGCAGCAAGAGCAGTAGCAGCAGCAGCAGGAGGAGGAGTAGTAGTAGCAGTACTAGTAGCTGTAGCAGCAGCAGCAGTAGGAGGAGGAGGAGTACGAGAAAGAGGATGAAAAGGAGGAGAAAGAGGGGAGGAGGAATAGGAACCACCTTCAGGTTCTGCACAATGCTTCTCATCAATGTCACATGATCAATCCCAGTATCGTTTCGCCTGCAATCCGCTACGACACCTAAACTTCGCCCTGCTCACTCTACCCTTGCTGGTGCTAGCGAAAGTCGAATTCCAAAAAAGGGGTCCTAGCATCAGGCTCGAAACAAATGTTCAAGGCACAAAACTAACATTTCTGGCTTTGAATCTTTTGAGACTGGGACAAGCGAGTCTACGGCTTACAAGATCTCTGGGCAGCAGGCCGGTCGAGGCCGGTGCGATCGAATTTTCATCGTACTACGGCTTTCGGGACTAAGGGTCCTGCGTGCTATGGGACCCCAGACTCAGTCGCCCCTGAAACCTGAACCTCCTTAAACCTATTGACAAGAGCAGTTCAGCCAAGCCGGCTCAGGCGGATAGCGCACCTCAAATGGGACGAACTTCAAGGAAATCGGAAAGTGAATCAGGTAAAGGTCCAGATACCTTGCAGGCTCGTGGCTTTCAGCAGGGGTGCAGACCCAATTGTCCGATATCCCTTTCTGATCAGGAAAGAAAAGAAGCATCCTAAGCCGAAAGCTCCTCTGAACTACCGGCCCAAGCTGAACTCAAAACAGTCGTTCCTTCAGGACTCTCGGAGCCAAACCCCTTCCTGCATGGCTGCGAGGCTCGTCAACATTGAAGGGACCGAAACCAAACACCCTGAACAGATCTCCAGCTGCAAGACAGCAAGCTCGAGGCCCAAATCTTGAAGCGTCCGCTCGCACGCGGCCCGGACATGCTCCGGACGATGATACCTGAGCTTACAAGAGGTCGGGCAGGGGGTCGAATCCCAGGGGCCGGGTCAGCGATGTTGGAGAGTTGGAAGCTTCGGACAAGATTTTTGAGATTAGTTTCGCCCGCCCCCATTTTCCGAAAGCAAAAAGCAAGAAAATCCGATGGAAGTGTGCGGTCCCGACTCAGCACGTGCCGTTTCCCGACTCGCACGGCCAGAATCGGAGTCAAGCTTGGCCCGCACGGTCCCGGGCTGCACGCGAGAGAAACACCTACGAGCCTGCATGATTACGAGCTTCGGCTGGATTTGTGCATTGTGGGTGGCATTGCATCAGGCATGCGCGAGTCTTGCTAAGATCTAGACATGATGCGGATGTAATCGGCCTTCGTTGTGGTTTTAGACTTTTCTCGAGCATCGACTCGTGGCAAACATGCTGTCTTGAAGACTTGCAGAAAGTCACATGTCTCGACGTTCTACCTTGCGGTATCCCTACTGCTTGTGTGTACACATGTGTAAGCATGGGCACGTACGCAAACACGCACTGGTGCTTGTTTGTTCATCAGTCAAGCATGAACATCTGCTAGTCTGCATGTCAGGTGCACACCAAATTCCAAGCACAGGTTCGGGTGACATATACACAGTGTGTCAACATACGAAACAGGCCAATCATAATGTAGCCATGTGGAACAATGCGCTTCCCAACGTAGCACGACGACAGACAGTGCTGCATCACACGATGCTACAGTGCAAACCTACAACATAAAAGCACGATGCTAAGTTGCAGTATGTTACACTGCGCTGCATGAGCACGGCGCGCCCGGTTTCGATCTCATTGCATCCCGCCGGTTCCGCTAGCCTTCTCCGCCCCATTACGTCCACATTGCTTAACGTTGGACCACACGACATGTACCTCGCGCTCCCTTCTCCTTGAACAACTACACCAAAACCTTGAATCATGCTGTGCAGCTGATACGCATGTCGTGAACAAAACCTAAGGAGATTCACGAGAGCGGCCCTCGTAGCCCCCTCCTCGGGTTCACGTCTTGCAAGTGGCCCACAGCACGGGCCTTCAACAATCCAGCTTCGTCGTACATTCAGTTTCAATGCGAAGAATGCGAAACTTGCACTGAAGAAGCCAAGCCTCATTCTTTTGAAACCGAGTGGCGTGTTCCAAAGCTTCGACGTGATCCAGAGTTCTTGCCTAGATGTAGCAAGGTCGGGTGGGCTTTCGGCCGGTCTGCATCTGTTTTATTATTCGTCAGGCGCCCCAGCAAACATCAACGATAAAATATAAAGGAAGCCTACATGTAGGCTCAGGGGCTTTGGCAGATGCAGCATGATGCAGCATAAGAGCCTATGCAAGGTTTCGAGCAAAAGAGTAGGGTTTATGGTTTCGTCAGGTTCTAGTCATGCGGGGACTATGAAGAATTCATAACAAGCAGCCAGGCTCCTGACCTCGGGTCTCGGGCACATGACATGCTGCCTACCTTCACCAGAAAGGCCTTGACAGGCCCGTGCAAAACCAGACTATCCTGGAGCACCGACAGAGTGAGGGCAATTCCAGGCCTTGCTCCCGAAAGTCCATCCGGATCCCAAGGATCCCAAACCCGAAATGCCGAATCCCAAACCCCGAATCTGCGACCTCTGCATCCTAAAGCCCGACGCAAGCCCGGCCCTAGTTGCACCGATCCAGTTCTGAGCAATGGTTGCAGTGGTGCGTGTTCGTATCTTGATCGTATGTGAGTAAAGGTGTGCATAAACTATGTGTGTGTAGCAGCATATGTGTCTATGTGCTGCGACTCGTTCGCCTCGGCTGCAACGACGTGTCTGAAGGGGTGTGCTTGCTGTCCGTGCGCCGCGACTCGCTCCCTTTACCCGTACCTTAAAAATCTGAAACTCCCAACTAGAAACATCTAGAAGTCCGAAACACCTTCACTCGGAAACCGTTAAAGTTAAGCACTGCAAAGATGGGCCCTAGCCTCGTGCAGAGGCCTGCTCGGAGAGATTGGGAAAGGCCTCGGCCGACCTCCACCTGGGCTGTTTCAAGCAGAGGGCTTATGACGGGTCGAAAGAAGTCTGACGTGAAGAGCTTTTCTGCTGCATGCACCTTTCGGGGCCTGGCTTTGGCGGAAGCCGTCTGGAGGCTTCCAGAGCTGAGTCGCTTCTGAGCGTCTTTGATTTAGGCCCAAGCTGGAGTGTGCGTCTTGGATTCAAGCAAGTGTCAGGCGCCACCCAAGGAGTGAACGTTGGCGCAACCCAAAAGATCGACAACTTGAGATTGTGGCATGCCTTTTTCTGAGGGACGGTCTCCTGCTCTTTGTGCCCGGCAAAAGGTTCAGGCACCAGTCGCTCATGTGAAAAAGCATTGTGTTTCGTTCCGCTTTGCGCATGCACTTGCAAGCACCGTTCGGCCCATTCTCACGTCCTCCAACGGACTGTCGGGGGCGGGTCAAAAGACTTTCGAAAATCGAGGAGCAGAAATCATCGAAACCCCGTCCAAATTCGTCCACCCGGCTTAAGACTTTGTAAACCACCCTCCTAACCCAATATTTGTACCGAACTTGCTGCATACCTCAACAGGTATGCTGCGCTGTAGCCACACCTCCGAACACCCAAATCAGGCACTGCTTCGGCTGAAATCCTGTCAACTCAACGCATAGTCAATAGTCGCGAGCATTCTAGCCGAGGAGGTTTTGTAGCCTACAACACACATGTATGCAGAGTCGCAGCTACAAGCAGGACCGAAGCTTCACAGCCAAGGCCGCCACCTCATTTCCGTAGTCACAAGCACAGTCAATGTGGCGGTAACCCATCCCTTAGCAGCCAGGTTTGAGCAGAAGATGGCGCTTCGGGGTTCAAGGTTTGCGGCCTTTGTGTTGCGAAGGAGAAGGAAGCTCTTTCCACGCTGGCAGGGATAAGGAAGCACAGCGAGAGACATCGAGAAAGAGAGAGGGAGACAAAACAAACAAAGCAACCGGAAGAAAGGCAGAGCCAGGATTCCAAATACCCTTAAACTCGGTACCAGGATGGGCTTGCGCAATTGGCCCGAAGTACTGAACTCGGAAGTACTCTTGCCATTGCACTTTATAGTGCTAAAGAAAGTATGGATTTAAGGAGTGCTGGAGAAAGAGTGAATTTAAGAGGCTCTGGCAAAGGTTTCTGGCAGTCGAGTGTGCATGCCACTTCCTGAGAATTCCTGCGCTTCCGAGTCCCGTAAAACTAGGACGGCTTCATTATATAAGAAACCCTAGAGAATAGCATTTCTTGACGCTTCAGTGCTATTCCGTTGATATTGAGGCTGCGAAAACTCACTGCCAGGGCTCTGATCGCGTCCTCCACAAGCTGTGCTGCGCTCTGCTTCTCCACCTTCCTGTGCTTTTTGGCATCTTCTTATGCAAGCCTTGAGCTGCGCCTCTTGAGGGTTAGCATCACAGGAACTTCCTTAGAAAATGTTAAGGCCTGAGCATCCATCATACAGGCATCTGGACCTTTGGGTTAGCTCGACCAGACTCTTTTCCATCTGCCTGTAGGCTTCGTTTCAAGATAGTTTCTGAAGTGCAGATTGTTGGGGAGCAATGCAAAGCACCGAGGCTCTTTGCGATTTGCTTGGCCCGTACACCCACAGATTTCCATATTCTAGATTCTAGAACTAGATTCACAAGAACCCCTCGCGATTCCTGGCACATTTACCATGGAAAAACTACACGACAGGAGTAAGCTCGAAAGACCAAAACACCAACTACAGGAAAAGCACGAATACCAGAACCTAAAGTTCTTGTGTGTCATATCAGTCTTATCGACATAGCATCCGAAGAGCATTAACGGAATGTCAAATACCCGGCCCAACACCCCGAGCCGGCTAAGGTTCCAAGTTCCAAATCCGACGGCCGGCATCATGCGTCCCCCGACCTCGCTGGGACCACAGCCACACCAAAGCGAGCATTGTTTCAGCTTTTTGAATGGTCTGGGCTTGCAGTGTTGAAGCTCGATCCCGGTCTAGAAAGTTTGGGCACCAGCCCTCAGACAGCATACGATCAGCCTGGGCTCCAGCCTCACTCGGAAGCTCAGGCTGCGTGCATGCCCAAGAGCAACCGCACAGGAGTGATAGCGAAGAGAAATTCTAGCACTTGAACGCTCCGAAAGGCACTCGAAAGAGGGGAATTTCTAGTCTAGACAACACCAGCAACGTTTCGCCTCAATACAAACGAAGTCACAGGAAGGACGCATTGTTGGGATGATGTGCCCGCCGTAGTCTGCGATGCGATAACACCTGAGGAGTTTCGCGATTTCCAAATGTATGGTTCGCGGCTTCACGTTTGGGGAAGTGTCATTATTTGGCAATCGGATACTGCAAGAGATTGCAGCTCCAGGCCGTTATAGACTGTTGCTGTCCAGCTGTTGTCTTGTAGCAATCCGTGTCACATGGGTAAGTAGGCCGAGGAAACCCTCAAGGAGCCGAAACTGCAGCAATAGCAACAACAACAACAACTACTACTACTACTACTACTGCAACTACAACAACAACTACTACTACTACTACAACTACTACTACTACTACTGCAAC